CTATCCAAATCTAGCCCCTTCCCACAGGGGCAAATTGTAAGAGTTGGCACCCTCATCATTGGCAAGAGGGGGCGGGACCTACTGCCTATTCTTACCTTTGGTTGCCCCTGTGCATGAGGTGCCAGTTAACTCTAGCTTCTGTTTTATTTTCTTGGATACTGTATACCTCTTACCTAAGTGATGGCTTTGAAAGATGAACGAGGGTTTCTATGATTACTTATTGGATGGATCGCTGCCCACAGAAACAGAAGAGAATGGGTCATAGAAAATGTTCCAATCATCATCAAAGCTAAAATCTTTCCCATCTATTGATGAGAACAGTGCTTGCTTTGATCAACTTGGCTTTCAGATGTGTGAATTACACGGTACTATATTAAAATAAGAGCTGGTCACAAGTTAATTATCAGGTCATGTTCATTTTAAACGAGTTCATGGACAAGATTAATGTAGTCAGGGCATGCAATGCAAGGCAGTATTAAAAGCTATCTGGGAAATTGAAGATTACATTGGAATAAATGTTAAATAACCTCAATCCTGTAACGTCCCCCTGCATGGAATGTGTACAAGTGATGCGTAGCATGACCATATTTCCTTGTGCTGAATATGGGACACCAGGAGCGGTCCGAGGCCGACTGCGACAGCTGGCGCCCCCGCATGGCCGTCAATGGCTGTGATGTCATCACAGGGCGCCCCAGCACCCCATGATGTCATCATCAGGTGTCCAGGCCAGCAGCGCTCTAGGGAACTGCCTAGTTCACCTAGGCTCACGGGCCACCCCTGTGGGACACCTGGTAAAATTACTCGTATTCAAATGAGTTCAATAGCAGTCAATCAGAACTATGCAATACAAATGTCCAAATTAACATCCAGGTGACTGAGCCCCTGTTGAGAAGAAACACTGAGTAGCTGACGTCATTTTATTTATCTTCTTTAGTTTTTGCATGGGGAGAGGTCGGTCACACACACACACACACACACACACACACACACGGCCCTCCCTTCCCTACCTCCAGCCTCTGTGCCTGGCTGAGTCCCTGGGATGGACCTGCCTCTCCTGATACTTCTCAAGGCGTCATGTGGGGGGGTACGCAGTGTCACATGACCCTGTCCCAGATTTGTATTGAGAAAGTAGCAAGCAGCAGCCTTTTGGCATGTGTGGGAGGGAAGGGATGGGAGTTGCTACCGGTGGAACTGAGATGGGGGTGGAGGAAGAGAAGACTGGCCTGTGTTTTTCCAGAGGTCATCTCTTCCCTCCCATCCCCTGCTCTCCTATTGCTAGAAGGTATATCATGTTCACCACCTTCCCCATGTCCACAGAGCCAGTTATCTCATCACAGAAGGCAATCAGGTTGGTCAGGCATGACTTGCCCTTGGTGAACATGTTGATTATTCCTGATCACTTTCCCCTCTGCCATACAGACAGTTACAGAGCTCAAGTTCTGTTGCTCCAGGTTTTTTGTCCACCTGCCCGTCACTGCTGCTCAGATCATCCTTGTACTCTTTAACAAGGCCCTAGCTCTGGCACAGACAGGCGGCAGGTGGACGATGGCTCACAGGAGCTCATGTCGAAGGGAGCTGACCAGTGGGTTCCTTAGACTTAGACTCTGCTCCCCATCCCACAGTGCCTCTGCTCCACCCTGGTGCACTCCCACATCCCCCTTCCCTCAAATCCTGCCCCTGCTCCATCCCAGTTCATCCACATGCCCCCCTTCCTCCAAGCCTGTGCTGCACCTCTTCCCACCCCTTTGTCCTCTTCTGTCCCCATTGCACCCCTTCTCCAAGGCCCCCTCCCCCAAGTAACATGACCCAGGGAATTACCAGGGGGCCTGACACAGGGCAGTAGCAGAGGTCTGGTCCCTGCACTCACTGTGGTGGGAGCTGGAGTGACCCAGCAGCCCTCTGTGCTCTCCTCCCCAGAGCCTAGGTCACTCAAGGGAGTGGAGCAGCTTGGGGCTGCGTTATTCTCCTTCCCGCTGCCACTACAAAGTGGAGCGACCCACCTGGGAGATGGTGGTGGAGTGGAGCAGACTGCTGCATATCACTCCAGTTCCTGCAGCTCCCACCGCTGTAGTGCATGCACAGGGGCCCAATCCCTGCTGCCAGCTCCAGCCCCCCCAGATCACCCTGCCCTCACCTAACCTCCATTTGGGGACCATCCCATCTGGGGTGGCCACTGTGGGGACCCCCAAAGCACGGGGCCTGGAGTGGCCACCCCGAATTGTCCTATGGACAGGACAGCTGTGGTACTGGGACTTGCACGCTTCAACGTACTCACTGACGATCTAGAAAAGGAGGAGAACAGGGAAGTGACAAACGATACAAAGATATTCACGAATGTTAAGTCCAAAGCAGACTGTGAAGAGCACAAAGGGATCTCACAAACCTGGGGGGCCAGGCAACAAAATGGCAGATGAAATTCAAGATTGACAAGTTTATGGGAAAAGCTAATCTGAGCTATACCTATACAAGGCTGGGTTGTAAACTAGCTGTCGCCATGCCAGGAGTCACCAGGGGTAATTCTCCGAAAGCTTCTGCTCCTTGTGCAGGAACAATCACAAAGGCTATTGGTGTGTGTGAGGGGGTTCGCACTCACCACCGTATCCCCCTGCTGTCTGTCTTCCGGAATTGGCTCCCTTGGCAGGTAGGGTGCCTTCTCTGGGGTGGTGCCTCCCCTCTTTACTCCCGGCTGCGGCGTCCTCTTCGCCACACCGCCCTCCGGCAGAGCCCAAGTCTGTCTCTGAGCCCCCCTTCCGGGGGTTGATGTTCCTCCAGTGGGCCTTCTTTCAAGCCCTGCAGTCTGGGGATTTGCTGGCCAGAGCTCCTCTAGCCCTGCCTGGCCTCCCCACAGCCCTGCCTTAGCTTCAGGGAGCCTCCTCTTCCCTCAGCAGCCAGGTTCTCACTCCCTCTCGCACAGCAGCAGCCCATTCTCTATTATAGCGCCCAGCTGGGCCCTAATGGGCTAGTACAGCCTCAGCTGGGCTAAATTCCCAGGCCCTGGTTCAGGCCGGGGTCTGCCCTTAAAGGGCCAGTGCAGGGCGAGCGCCCTGTCACAGTGTGTTAGGGATTATTAGGAAAGGGATAGAAAATAAGACAGAAAATCCCATAGTGCCACTTTATAACTCCACGGAACGCCTGCCCCCAGAATACTGTCCAGTTTTGGGTGGCACATCTCAAAAAGCACAGTGGGACTGGAAAGGCAGGTACTTGGTACTAGGAGTTTAAAGTGGCTCTTTAAACTTTTTCAGTAATTATTATCAGTGAACTGGAAGAAAATATGGAATCACTGTTGATTACATGCGCCGGTGACAAAATACGAGCAGAGTGGTAAATAAGGCTGATGCCTAGCAGTGATATGGAGTGATCTAGATCCCTTGGGGATCCTTGGGGAGCTAGATCCTTGTGAACAAAGCAGGTTTTCATAGAGCCAAATGCAAGGTCCTACTCTAGCCCCAAAGCAAGGTAGGCCTCCCCCGCCTGCAATGGGGAACTGCACCCAGGCAAGCAGTGACTTTGAGAAGTATTTAGGAATCATGCTGGGCATGAGATCCCAGGGCAATGCTGTGGTGAATATGGCTACAGTCAGCATTAGACACATGAGCAGAGAAGTGAGTAGGGCAGGGAGGTGCCGTGGCATGAGTGAGAATGAGACTGGACACTGCAGCCTGTTTCAGGGGGCCACATTTTAAAAAGATGTTGAAAAATTGGAGATGGTCCAGCAAAGAGCCCAATGTTTTGAGGGCTGAAGAAAAACGCCTTCCTGTGAATTATTGAAAGGAGCTCAATCTAATTAGCTTCTACAAAGGAAGGCAGAGAGGTGTCTAAGTGCTTTGCAGGAGAGAAAATGTCAGGTATTAAAGGGCTGTTTAATGTTGCAGAAAAAGGTAGAGCAAGACCAATGGCTGGAAGGTGAAAACAGACAAATTCATATAAAAAATAAGGCACACATATTTTACAGTGAGGATGATTCTTCTTTGAAACAACCTACCAAAGCAATTGACAGATTTTCCATTTCTTGATGTCTTCTAATCAGAGTTTCCATTTCTTGATGTCTTCTAATGAAGAATAGATTCCTTTCTGGTGGGTGTGTGTGTGTGTGTGTGTGTGTGTGTGTGTGTGTGGATCAATACTTAGTCACTATGGCTGTGTCTAGACTACATGGCTCCATCGATGGAGCCATGTAGATTAGACAGATAGGCAAAGGCAAATGAAGCTGCGATTTAAATGATCGCGGCTTCATTTAAATTTACATGGCTGCCGCGCTGAGCCGACAAACAGCTGATCAGCTGTTTGTCGGCTCAGCGCGGCAGCCATGTAAATTTAAATGAAGCCGCGATCATTTAAATCGCAGCTTCATTTGCCTTTGCCTATCTGTCTAATCTACATGGCTCCATCGATGGAGCCATGTAGATTAGACAGATAGGCAAAGGCAAATGAAGCTGCGATTTAAATGATCGCGGCTTCATTTAAATTTACATGGCTGCCGCGCTGAGCCGACAAACAGCTGATCAGCTGTTTGTCGGCTCAGCGCGGCAGCCATGTAAATTTAAATGAAGCCGCGATCATTTAAATCGCAGCTTCATTTGCCTTTGCCAAAAAAACAAATCTACATGGCTCTGTCGACGGAGCCATGTAGTTTAGATGTACCCTATGATATACAAGAGGCCTGGGATATAGAGGGGTCAGAGTTCATGGACCATTCTGACCTTAAAGTCTAATTAATGAAAAAATAAGTGTTGTATAAGGAGCAACCTGTGGGGTTTTACAGTGCAGCCTGCTCGATCCCAGGAGTCAGCTGTCATTTAGTGGGATGATCCAAAAAAGTCACTCAAACATGCAAAGAGGCTGACCAGGGTCAGGACACCAGCTATGCAGGGGAGCGGTGGGTGTGCAGTGACATCACAAAGGCTTGTTGCAGGACCTCAGGCTATTGGGGGACAGTGGTGGGGAGGTGGTGACCTCATAGAGCGACTCCGACATCAGCCAGGCAGGAGAGATGCAAGGTGGAGCAGCCTCAGAGAGTTCTGTGGCTTTTCAGCGGCAAGGCTCCTTCTCAAGGTCTCTTTCTGGGGACCGAGAGAGAATTAGGATTAATGTACGTGAGCGTGGGAAACCTCCTCAGAGTTTTCCTCCTTCTGATGTTATGGTCCCCGATTAGAAGGTAAGAGCCTCAGAGAGGTTTGGAATCTGTTCAGTCTGATCCACCTGGTATCAGCTGAATTCTGGGCATAGAAATCACTAGGTTAAGCTGGTTTGATTTCCTGCCAAAGTCTTGATGCTGTAGAATCACCGGGGGCATTGGGGGGCTTCTCTTTTGAGATTTCCCTTTTGCTCCTTCCCTTTCTCTTTCTCCTCTTCTCTTGCTTCTTCTCCCTTCTTCATTTTCTATTCCTCCCTGCTCCACCAAGGAGGGGTGTGTGTGCAGCAGGGGGCTGTGAGGGCTGCCACAAAGAAGTGGGGCTGAAAGAGTGCTTGGAGACTGATTCCCTTCAGTGGTGATCTGGGCCATCCTTTTGGACTTCTGCTGAGACCCCTCCACCTCCCAGCTCTCAGAGTCTTCATGCTGATTGGAGAAGCAGGTGGAAAACCTAGGTCGGGGTGGCCAACTTTTGGCTCCAGAGTCAGACGTGCCTCTTCAGAAGTTAACCTGTGGCTACTTGCACAGGTACCAAAACCTAGGGGTGGAGCTACAGGTGCCAACTTTCCACTGGACCGGAGGGTGCTCACTGTTCAACCCCCAGCTCTGCCCTAGACCCTTTCCCCCTAGGATCCTGCCACTTCCCGCCTGCTCCACTGAGCCTGTCACACCCATACTTCCCCCCTCCAGTGTCTCCCACTGAGAAAGAGCTGATCCTTGTGGGTAGAAGGAAAAGGAGAAGGTGGCACTGACCAGTGGCGCTGCCAGTGTGCGGGATGTGCTGAGAGCGGTGGTTGGGGAGATGATCAGAGCTGGTGACATAGAACTGTTGCTCTTTGGCAATGTGCATTGGTCAATTCTGGCTCCTTCTCAGGTTAGGTTGGCCACTCCTGGCCTAGGTACGTTTATTCTCTTTAAGACCAAACAAATAAGTCACAAGCAATCATGTATTTGATCGATTGTGCTGTTCCTCTGCAATTGTTGTCTCTGCGCTGTTCCTGACTCTCTCTAATGTGCTTGTTCTTTTCAAATACCTGCTAAATAATGACCATCAGCAATTGTTGGTCTATAGAGCATTTTAGAGAACTTTATTCTGAACTGTCAATGGCTGTGTCTAGACTGCATCCCTCTGCCAACAGAGGGATGCAAATCAAGCACTTCGGAAGTGCAAATGAGCCCGGGATTTAAATATGCTGGGCTTCATTTGCATACTCATGTTCCGACGGGGAGCTTTTTCGGCAGATTCTGTACTCCTAAACTTTACTTTCACTTTTGACACTGAGCCTGATCATCTAGATGTAGCCAATGAGTCCCAAGCGACTAGTTAGGGGCAGGACATCAGCTTTGCATGGGAGGGGGTGAATGTGGAAGTGACATCACAAAGGCCTGTTGCAGGACCTCAGCCTACTGGGGAAAGGTAGTGAGGCGGTGGTGACCTCACAGAGAGACCCTGACACCAGCTAGGCAGGATGGAGGTGCAAGGCAGGGGCACCCCCCTGATGGCTTTGTGGGAGGCTATTCCAAAGAAGTGGGGCTGGAATTGCTCTGAGACTGCTCCCTGTGGTGGTGACTGGGGGGCTGGGGCCATCCCTCAGGACATCTTGCTGAGACCTCTCAGTCTCCCACTTCTCAGAGTCTCGATGCCGATTGGCCGAGCAGGGGGCTATTGACAGGGAGGAGACGTTTTCCCAGGTTTCCCAATGTCACACATGGCTGTCCTTTCCTTTGCAGGCGCTGCACAAGAGCACGTCTGTCCTCAGCTTCCAATACATCTTGGAGGTGAGCATAGTCAGGAGGAGTAGGGGGCAGTTTTGTATTAGCACCGCGGGGAACTGGAAAGGGGAGATTAGAAATCCATTTTCCAGTCTGTCCTCCTATCCTGCATACCAGTGGGCCATCCTTGGTCAGGGCAGTCAAAAGCTGGAGCCCAGGCTCCTGTGTATCGCCGGGTCTCCAGGCATTTGCCACTTTTATCTCCTACCTTGGTAATAGCCTTTCAGTCACCTGCACAAAGCATCTAAACTCTTAAATTCCTGCTTCATAATAGGTACCATTTGAATGAGAAATTACCATTTTTATAATCACATTATACATTAGAGAAAGCTTCAGTTTGGCTACGTCTACACTGGCATGATTTTCCGCAAATGCTTTTAACGGAAAAGTTTTCTGTTCAAAGCATTTTCGAAACAGAGCGTCTAGATTGGCACGGATGCTTTTCCACAAAGCATCTGTGGCCAATCTAGATGCGCTTTTCTGCAAAAAAGCCCCGATTGCCATTTTCGCGATCTGGGCTTTTTTGCGGAAAACAAATCTGAGCTGTCTACACTGGCCCTTTTGAAAGGGACTTTTGCCCGAACAGGAGCAGCATAGTATTTCCACAAAAAGCACTGATTTCTTACAGTAGGAAGTCAGTACTTTTGCAGAAATTCAAGCGACCAGTGTAGACAGCTGGCAAGTTTTTCCGGAAAAGCGGCTGATTTTCCGGAAAAACTGGCCAGTCTAGACACAGCCTTTGTGTCTAACTGCAGCTGATTTCACCATCTGTTCTTGAAACTGCATTTTTTTTAGTTTTATTTTTAAATCTTTATTTTGGAAGTTAATTTTAACAGCTTACAAATCCTGCAAATGTGAGAGACAATACAATACGAACCTTATAGCTTTTATTTAGAGAAACATTATGTAGTAATATAATAATTAGAACTGTCTGTTTAACAGACCCAAATAAATAGACAGATCCAAGTATTATATTACTGCATAATATTTCGCATGTGTCCCAAGCTCACCCCACATTGCCCATGAGAAGAAGGCAAGCCTTCTTTATTGGACCTGCTGACCCTTGATTGGTCAGTGTCTTCTCCTGACCTGCCTACATCTCAGATGACCAGAGTCTTGTTGATAACCTGGACCAAGTACTTTGTTTTGAGTATAGGAGTATCAGGGAGCTGACACCTCCAGAAGTGGACAGAGAAGGCCTGATAGTCCCTGTCACATGCCCCAAGTTCCTTAAATGACTGTTCTTTGCATCAGTCCAAAAGCAGACATGAGTTGATGGAGTAGCGTTCATGGAGAGGGAGTAGGCAGCGATGTCAACTGAATCCGTCATTTTTTTGCATTGTCCTTGAGCTTTGTGCAGAGAGGATGAGGAACAATGTCATGGGAATAAAATGTTCGGGAACACACAAGAAAATAGCTTTATATATGATGTAATATGATTTTTATCAAAACTGTGTTTTCTATATAGACTTGCAATCCCTCTCCTAGGATTCACACAGTTGTCTGTTAATAGCTTTTTGCTGTTGCAGAAAGATCTATATGATGTTTGATATTAACTATGCCCTATATTAAGTGTCATAACTATTCAAGCTATAGTAGAGCATGTGCTCTAACATTAAACAAAAATATAATTCTCTGTAAGTAGGAAAATTTTTCCTTGGGGTAAAATGACCTTCTTTGGGGATATGACAGACAATGAATTGTACTTACATATCTAAGCAGTGGAACATTTGTGTTAGTCTTTGTCGTAATTCATAGTTTTACCTTCAAATTTAAATTTACAATTAAAAAAAACTGGGACTTAAGTAAAACAACAACTTCTTGTTTTACAAAGGGATCGACTTAACCCAGCATGACGTAGAAACTTTCAACACAGGATTAAAGACTTCTTTCATAATTGTCATGTTGACACTACTTTTTTGAATACCCCAATCTCTATAGTTTAAGATACGACAAACAAAGTATTTTGGAGGTGAATGAAACTTAAAAAAATAAGCTATTCAAGTAATTTCTTCATATAATGTTTAACTAACTTCTCACAATGTGGGATTTAGCTTCATTGACCAGGTTTAGACCAACAGTAATAGCTCTGTCTGCTTCAGCCTACGGGGCTCAAAGACCAGTAGAAGAGCTACAGTATCTGATAAAAAACATCTGCTTATTAAGGTAGACTGCATCATCAGATAATTCATGTCCTGTCTGCACTTAGTAACCATTACTATCTAAACAGGATAGAATGGATGTCATAACAAAAGAGGATATAAAAATGCTGACGTGTGCATAACAGGAAATATTTTATTTTTTGTAACTGACTGGAACAGCAGTTAAAAAACCTCCACTAAGATTGTACTTCATGTCCTTGTTTTCATTTTCTCTTGTTTACCTTCTTGATTTAGTAGGGTGGCAAGTTTATCTTTGTACCTATGGTTCTGTTTATGCACCTGCCTATCACTTATAATCTGAATTAATGCCTGGAAAAACCGCTTTTCTAAAGAATCTCCTTTTGATCTAGAATTCCTTCTGGATCTGAAATTAGAATTTGTTAAATGGCTACAGTTTCAATGGAGATGGCTGTAATTAAGTTCTTGTAGGACAGAGGAAAAGGGTTGCTTTTTTCAACACTTGACCAGACTCAATTCCTGCCGTCACTACTAAACCAAAAATGATAGCAGCCCACAAGGACATTAAGAAGTTCAAAAACTTGTATACAGGGGAGATTCAGGGAAACCTTAGTTTAAAACAGCTTACTGTGTATACAGCCGTAATACCATGTAGCGCAAGCGAAGACTAGAAAGACTTGCACTCGTTCCCTCTCTCACCGGAAGATGTGAAGCTTTTGCTCATACAGAACAGTAAAATACCCTGGTTTTGATTTCCTCATTAGTGGCATGGTACATTGTTGGAACAAATCATTTACTAACAAGGTTTAGAAAATGAGAGGCAGAGTCCATTCATGGTATAACAACTGCACATAAATACAAGAGATGGCCTCATCACCCCACTCAACTGAGTGAGGAAATGTGACTTCCTTCCTGGATTGGCAATCGGGATTTAATGAAGCATATGGTGTTTTCCACAATTCCTGAACGTTTTGTTTACAAGCACTGGCAAATGTCGTCCTGCATATTAGATCCTGACAAATAGCACAAAAATCTATTTAGCACACACAAGTGGGAAATGTACAGCAGAGCTGTACGCAAACTCCCCCTGGATACTTTCTTATTCATGTTACTGCTCAATAAACATTAGGAGTTCAGACATTGTCAGTTTAATAATATTTAGATTATTTAGAAATTGCACAGGAAAAATTAAAAACGAATAGTCCTGTGGCACCTTAGAGACTAACAAAATCCTATAGAATCATGAGCTTTCATGGGTAAAATCCACTTTGCCAGATACATTGGAGTGGAAATACAGAAACCAAAATATAAACAGCAGAAGAACCTGTCAATTGTAGGAGCCATGTTAACAAGGCTAAATAAGTGGGCAGGATGTGTCACATTCACAGCTTTTGATGTGAAAATGCCGATCCCCCAATCTGAAGCAAACCCTTTCCAGCAGCCGCAGAAACACTCAGGGTATGTCTACACTACAACGTTAATTCGAACGAACAGCCGTTAGTTCGAATTAACTGTCTTAGGGGCTACACATGCAAGTTAAATTCGAACTAGCGGAGCGCTTCATTCAAACTAGGTAAACCTCATTCTACGAGGAGTAACGCCTAGTTCGAATTAAGTAATTTGACTTAAGGGCTGTGTAGCCACTTAATTCGAATTAGTTGGAGGCTAACCCTTCCCAGGTTGTCCTGGTGGCCACTCTGGGCCAAACCAGGGAAACTCTTCTGCCCCGCTCCTGGCCCTGGAGCCCTTAAAGGGTCACGGGCTGGCTACAGTGCTTGGGCCAGTAGCAAGCCAGCCAGCACCCAGCCAGCAGACCCTACACCTGGCACGGCATGAGCCAGCCACCCGCTGCCACCCAGCCCTCCGTCTCTTCCTGGGACCAGGCTGGCGGCTCCCAGGAGCCTGCCCGGGGCCACAAAAGGTGGGCACCTCCCTGGTCTACTGCGGAGATCGTGGACCTCATCGAAGTTTGGGGGGAGGCCTCCAACGTCCATGATCTCCACACTAGCCACAGGAACACGGCCATCTACAGCCATATGGCTGCCAGCCTGGCCACCAGAGGCCACATACGGACCCGGGAGCAGGTCCGCTGAAAAATAAAGGACCTGTGGCAGGCCCCCTCCAGGGCCTCCCAGCCAGGGGCTGACCCGGAGGCATGCCCTCATTACAAGGCCTTGGGCCACATCCTGGGGGCTCACGCAGTCCATGTCCCCCCGGTGGTGATCGACCCCAGGGCAGAGGGCCCCGTCCCTGACACGGAGGAGGAAGAAGAGGATGCTGAGAGCCAGGAGCTTGCAAGGAGCCTGCCCAGGAGCCAGGACCCCCGAGACATCCCACAGAGCACATCGGCTGTGTCGTCCGAGGCCGGGGAGGGCTCCACATGTGAGTGCCATCATGCTCGCCTTATGTTTATGGGGTGGGGTGGGGTGGGGGAAGAGAGAGCCCAGGGACTGTGCACCTGGGCCTTGCCCACCATGGAGCAGCAGCTGGGTGTCATGCAGGGGCCCTGGCCCGTTCCCCCCATGCTGACCTTGCCTTGCAGAGTGGGGCTGGGTTTCATCCAGTGTTCCCAGGGAGAACTGACCACCGCTCTTGTTTCACCACAACCACAGCACCTGGGATTGCAGGGCGCACCACCCCGCCTGCAACAGCCACCCGCACTTATTTAATTCGAAATAAGTTAGTTTGAATTAGCGCTGTAGTGTAGACATACCTTCACACAGGAACCTGCCCCCTGTAACAAAACCCATTGCCAACTCTATCTACAAATGTGACACTGTTACCCAGGGCTTGAATAAAGACATGAAGTGGTTGGTGAATTACAAAGCCAATTTCTCCTGCCTTTAACATCCGCATTTTCACATCAAAAGCTATGAATGCAATGTAACTCATTGTAAAAGCGCTGGTCTATGGCTCAACACCAGACTGATTACTAGCTTTCCTGACCTTGTGGTAAGTCTGTGGTCATTCCTTTGCTTTCTTGGAGCACTGCTGATGATCCCCGTAGCACCACTTGGATTACATGCCCCGTGTAATCTTTTTGGAAATGTCTGTTTCCATGGCAGAAATGGCAGTGGTCAGAGCTGTAGGCCATTTAAAACACTGCTGGTGGCCCAGGCAACACAGGCTAGGCAGAGCTAAGGGACTTGCTGGGGGAGACTAACTCTCAGCCTCACCCCTTCCACCTGAGGCCCCCATCTTACCCAGGAACCCATCAATTCTGTCAGCAGCATTGGCTCTTGTCTACTCCAGGCACAACTGAGTCTAGTGTGACGAGCCAGCATGTTTGGTTGGTGAGCACACCTAGGGTGTGTCTAGACTACAGGGTTTTGTCGACAAAAGTGGACTTTTGTTGACAAAACTATACTTGCGTCCACACTACCTTTGAGTTATGTCGACATAACGTCGACAAAACTCAGCAGTTTTGTCGACGTATGTAAACCTCATTCTACGAGGAATAACGCCTTTTGTCGACAGAGTTCTGTCAATAGAAGGCATTATTGCATCTACACTGTCCTTTGCGTCCACACTGTTATGTCGACAAAGCGGCTTGCTTTGTCGACAGAACTGGATGTAGTCTAGACGCTCTATGTCGACATAAGTTTTGTCAACAGATTCTGTCGACAAAACTTATGTCGACGTAAGCCTGTAGTCTTGACATACCCTCTAGAAACTTTATCTTCTGTCATGTGACTGCTCCATCAGGAAAAAGCATTTCAGGGTCATTGATAAGCAGGAGATGACTAGACCTCTATGACTGCCAGGCGGTGCAGTTAACAATCGTGAGCAGAGTGGTCAGGGTTGTGCATTATAGGTCAACTCTGGTCACACCAAGTCTACCCTCACATTGAGTTGATCTCAGTCATGGCTCCATGCTGTTTAGAGAGGTGGTTTTGCTACACCACCATACAAAGCATTTACCTTGCCCAGAGACAAATTTGAGTGTAGACACAGGCACTAGTAGGTCAATGCAATGAGTCACATTGATCTAATTTAATCGTGTTGACCAGACTTCAATCTGTAATTCAATGTGTTTGTGAGGTGAGCTGCAGAGCTCTCATTTCACAAAAACCCATTTCTGAGTCGTTACAGTGCATGCTGAGCATGTTCATTATATGTGGCAATCCCTTTCAAAATACACGTTTAAACAGATGGCTCATGTTGACTATTTAATACAATCCTACAATTAAGTTAAATCTCAGTGAAGTAGACAATGACTGATATTCTATTGACATCAAAGCTGGTATTTTGCATCTTCATCTTATGAATTTTCATATTCAAAGCTGCCACTCCAACCTTATTGAAATGTCAACGAAGATAAACCGAGGTGTAACTGAAGAGGCTAGATAAGGTGTCTGGCATTTCAATCATTTGTTTTTTACTACGTTTTACTAGCAATCACACATCCATGCGGTTTTAATGGCGAAAGAAAAGGACAGGTGCTAATGTGTTTGAGCTAATTTCTATAAATAAACATAGTGAATGGGTGAAACCTTGCCCTCCCTCTCTCGTAGATGGAGAACTCTAAGCTGGTTTCCATGGCAGAGAGGGCACGTTGTGGCAACATGCTCTGTGCACTGGTAGCAGAGAGGTACCATGTTCTCTGCACTGTATAGGAGTCTCTGCTGCCTTAGCAGGTGTCTTTAGAGGATGGGGGCAGGGCTACTGAATACTTCACCACACAGATGGCCTAATTTATTCATTTGGTTTTAAAAATCAAAGACCTGGGCTCTACAAATTTAACTTTTTACT